CTCTAGCAGCTTGAGTTTTTATGATTAGACTGGTATGGGTGGCGGGTCACAGCGGAATTGCAGGTAATTGCAAAGCTGATGAGTTAGCGAGGAAAAGCACCCTAGAATCATTATCGGTAGAATGGGAACGGATCGGTGCTCCTGTATCGTCTTATGTTCAACTACTAGATAGATGGGCTAAGCGGATGCTAATCCAACGCTGGGCCAGCATCAGTACTTGTGTGGTTGCCGAAACCTTCTGGCCCAGGATAGATCGCAGGAGATCTAATGATCTTTTAGGCCTCAGTAAGGCTAACCTCTTATTATTAATGGGACTCTTAACAGGCCACTGTCCTATTGGCTTACATGAGGTAAGAATGGGTATCTTACCGGAAGCTGACTGTAGAAGCTGTTTGGAAGAGGATGCAGTAGAAACAAGCCAGCACTTTCTGCTTGATTGTCCCGGGTTTGGGAGATCAAGACTTATATACTTAGGGGCGCATACCTTTGGACATCCCACCGAACTGGTGGGTGTTTAAGTTAAGCCTCTTTGTAACTATATATTGGCTACAAAGCGCTTCGCCAATCTGTAAGTTCGAACACGAGAGTTTTTTTCTATGCTCTCACAAAGAACTACATTATTCGTCTACGTGTGATCTTTGATCAGCCATCTAACTTAACTTTAACCTATGGGTTTCCTCAGGTAAAAACAGCCATTTTTTTTATGTTTTCCTCATATAAAAAATTAAATATTTTTTAATTAAATATTATTTAATATTTTATTGTTACAAATATACACAACTAGCAAGGAAATTCTGATATTTTTGAAAAAAGATATTTAAAGTCGGCCATTGCACCGCCATTTCCGGTGACTCCTCGGAACAAAAATATGCGCCCGTCCTGGCAAGATAACTAATTTCAGGACCATTTAAAGTGAAAAATTAACTGTTTTAGTTAAAACTTTTACTTAGAATTTGGGCGAAGGAGAAAAACTGAAAATTGGATTTTTGGCAGACATTTTTTCTACCAATAGTTATAATCGAAAATCCTTCGTCCAAATCTTTAAAAATTTCTAAAAAAAAAGCGGTTTAGAAGTTCTCTAAAAATCTTGCCAACCGACTTCAAAAACATATTTAGTTATAAGAAAACCAAGTTTAAAGACGGAGCAAGGCGGTATGTCCGAAACTGTTGCTCGGATCAACTTGAAAATTGAGGAAAATATTCTAGAGGTACTGTAGACTTTAATAAGATAATAAATAAACCCATGTACCCCTTAAGAAAGCTGTTGTTTTAAGGGCTTTCTTTACATGGAACCATGTATGTCATTCAGTAAGAGTCAAGACCAAGTCTAAACTAAGAAATATGTGGAGAACAAATTGTTTTCTATACTTTGCATTTAAAAACAAGAACTGTCAGTGGGATGTCGACTTTTAGAATTAAAAAAAAAAAGAAAAAAAAACAATATTATCATTCCATTTACCATAAATTGTTTAAAAATGAAGAAAGTGGTCCAAACAGTCTTAAAAAGAAAATTATTATTATAATTTTTAAAAATTTATTCTAGTAACAGCTAAGCACAACTGTTGTCATCAAATTCATGAAAATATTAAATGTTTCCATATAAAACAACGCATTTGTGCTGAAAATTTCGCTTTGTATGAATTTTCTTGCTTAAATATGTAAGCACACACGCTGAAAAGCAGCCATAAATCACTTTGATGCAATTTCGTAAACAATGGAAAATGAAAGAGAAATAAATGCATAAAAACATATTCAGATAAAACACTTAATATGACACACATATACAGAAACACATAGATGACTAAAAGAAAAGCAAACTGCATAGCGAGGAGACAGGGAGGCAGGGAGAGCAGACTTAACGTCCATCAAGGCTGTTATGTAACCAAAAAAAAAAAAAAACAAATTGCAAGTAAAAACGAATGTGCGTACAACCTTAATTGACCTCCGTCTTCTTTTTTCTAACCGCACTGTGAATGATGTGTACGAGCAGATGTAGGTGGTTCTGCATAATAAAGTTAAGCAACGACATAGAGGACCCGCTATATATGTATGTACATATATGTGAATATGGCAGTGGGTGCTGGCTGTGGGGAGATTGCAGGCTGAAGGCAGCCAGCTTTCGACGGCATAATTTCAAAAGTAACTACATTTGAGTGCAAAAAATAAAAACTCGGCAAACAAACTCAATAAATCTGTAATGGCAGTGCAAGATATAGAAGCATAGAGAGAAAAAGTGAAAGCAAAAACGGCATGATGTTACACTTTTATTACAATTTCCAAAGGCGAAATGCAGCAATAGCAATGAGAAAAGTTGAAAAAAGTAAAAAACTGACAACTGAAATTTTTTACTCGCATTCAAATGCTGCAAGTTTTTGTTTCTAAATGGCTTTAGTTTATTTTGTAATTTCCTTGAGTTTTCTTATATAATATAAATGGTAGAGCATTAAAAAGCTAACTTTTCGAGCAGTGACAGTGACAGTGAAAGTGAAAGTGACAGTTGTGGATAGTTTCTGCTCTAAGCAAAGCAATTTAGCGCTGACTACTGGCAATGGGGAAAACTATAAACAAATGGTTACGTGTAAGCCAAAGACAACAATGTAATTACACTTAGCGTGTCGGTTTTTACAAAACATAAAATAATAACCATATAACCATTTCAATTAATCTGCACAGTTGACGAAGATAAAACACTTTTTTGGGCATATGTTTTTATGAAATTTTCGAACTGTGAAATATGGAAATAGTGTTCGGAAACGAAGACACCTTTTCTTGTCGTGTGACGCTCGATTGACTTAGCCTAATTTATTTATTTTTTTTATTTTTTATTTTTTTTTTTTTTAGGATTGTCAACACTCTAATATTATACATAAGTGGCAAACTTAGATATTCGGTTAAATTTAGGACACCTTTACATACAAGTATATCTAATTGATATTCTGTAAAATATTCTTGCAAGTGAAATTATGTTTGGAGATTTTTTCGGGGACTACTCGGTTAAAATTTTGGTTAATTTGCAACAAAACGCAAAATTTTTTTGAAATGTTTGCCACCCTTTTAAATTGTTTATGACATTAAAGAATATTGTTGTCAAAAACAAAAAAATGTTCTATGAGTTCATTTAGAACCCTCACTGATTGACCGATATACTATAAGGTTAAGTAAGCCTTTGCATTAGGTATATAGTAGTCGAGATAAGTGGACAAGGGTACATTATTATCAAAAAATAAATTTAGAATTTTATTATATGGAAATGAAGCGTGGGTGTTGTGTGATTTCGGCCATATTATAGGATTGTCAGCATAATTTTCTGTACCTAATTAGGGAGAATAGAGCCATTTATCGAAGTTCACACAAGTGAGGAAAGTTCTCTGAGCGCCATTCACTTTGGAGTGCCTTGAAACGATTATTTTACATACATATGGTTCAAGCAGCTTACGACTTCCGGTCTTCGACAAAGTATCCTCAGGACGGCCAAACACATTCGGTTGAAGGTGAAGTGAGAGGGCGAAACAACGTTCCCCAGGGTTGAGCGCTGGGCTTGGAAATCGCCACGTAAAAAGCCAACTCAATGAAAAGTCAGCTATAACCGCAAAAAACGGTGTTACGCCAAAAAGAAGCAGAATATGATTGAAATTGATCGAACCAATATTGAGGTGGCCGGTAGCACGTACGTTTCTCAATTTTGACGGCGGCTGCTATTTAAGCTTTCCGTAGCCTGCAGAGGGTTATCGCATTTTTAGTAATTTTTAACTCAACCATTATATGGGAAGTGGAGCGAACAAAAGGGTTATTCTTGAGCAAATTAAATTGACCAATGGACGATAGTTACGACGTTTTCAACACGTATCGGCATTCTTATTATTTATATACAAGTTTATGTACATTTACTTCGATTAGTTTTAGGTTATATAAACCAAAGTTAAGTGAACAAAACTACTACACTCTGAGGCAATATGTTACGTGAGTATCGTATGGTAGGCCATTATGTCGATTCCAACTATTTTAAATTGGTTAATTAAAGAACACATTCCTAATATACCAATATTAATACAACTTTCAAGAGGTCCACAATACCTTTGTATTGACCAACTAGACTTTATAGCCCTTTTGCAGAGGAGTTATTTGATTTATTAACCAGCCTTTACTTGTTTAAAGAGCTCATTTAGGTCGCTTTACCATACAAAATAAAAATCACATTTTACTACATAATTTATGGAGTTGAAACTGAAATGCAACTCTGCGGCTTGGTTTCATACTCTAAATTAGACTCTGCTTCACTCAGTAGGTTGTTGTCTCGGCTGTAAATTTGGTTGTGAGCATGGATTAAATAGTAACAAAAAGTTTTCGGCTTATAAAATTTTATCATTTGAAAAAATACAAAATGAAGATTATAAGGAAATATAATATCTGATCTGAACTGATATAATATCTAATAATGGAATAGCTAGCTGTGCGAAAGGCCGAAACTAGTTAACTTAGTACATAGTTAATTAGGTTATGCGAAAAAACTAATACACTTACTACTTTACAATACAATTTAATATAAAAATGGACAAAATCTGTACTTACCTTCCAACAGCTCCTTTTTACTGACTATGTGATGAGATAATGTATGAGTGGATGTTACAGCAACTGTGTATTGCACCTGTAAATAAACATGTAGGAAATAAATACACAGTGTTGACAATTTTTTATTAGCGCCAGTCGGACAGTTCTGAAATCCCTATTTTATGAGAATATTAAGTGTTCGATTCTGCCCCCAACCAACAGTTACCTGCTTATATATAGATATATTTCAAATGCTTAATTGTTTAAAAATAATAACTAATAATAAAATAAAATTAAATAATCACTTGACTTGGACACAGTTTAACCAATTTTTATTTATTTTACAAAACTCCGGCAATATACGAACAATTAAATTCAATTCAACTATGCTGGTCAAACAAAACACTCCATGGAATATGCCTGGAATTATGCTTCAAAATTGTACACAACAGCCAACCCCACGCTGTATGCACACTACGTTTTCAACACACTCGATCAGGATCACAGTGGCATTGTTAGCTTTGAGGTAAGTAATGAGAGAAAAAGCAGCATATTTGCCAACAATTATTTACATATATGCATGTATATATATATAATATATACTTAGTGTAAGATATTGTACTAACTACTTGGAAGAATATTTAAATTTACATTGTCCTGCTTAATAAAAATCTATATTTGAATATTTTTATCCTAAAATATCAAGGCTCTCTCCAACCTCGACTAAATGATCAATATTCATTTTAAAGTTAATTAAGTTCATGCGCTTGAAGTGAAAAGAGAATAAAGTATTTCCTGAACCCAAAACAATTTATTTTAATTAAATGCGGAAGGAACCCTTTGTGGAAGATACAGCAATCGCAGATGCTAATGAAGCCATGCATTTTAATGGGCAACGGTTTACTCAATTCTTTCTCCTTTTTGCTCTTATTTGACAATTACAAAATTCTCTTTTTCGTTTTGTGCCTTTTTGGCTCATGTGAATTAATGAATATTGGTTTATGCTGACCGACAAACAAGTCCCTAAGAAGCTGGCTCGCGAACTCGTAAAGCAGCGGAATTTATGGCGAACTGTTGCAAACAATAAAATGGCGGAAATGTAATAAATAAGACAACAGTATTGAAAATCTTGGTAAAAAGTAACAAAAATTCGGAATAAATAACGACTTAGTTCTGTTAAAGTAAATAAATTTCATTCGCAACTTAAGCCAATGATAAAATATTCGTTACATACTTAATCTACATGTGGGTATTATCTAAATATAAGATTGGTATACATTTCGTGGTTTGAAGGCAGATTAGAGTAGCATTCATAACCAATACCGGTAAGAGTTCAGATGTAACAGCCACAGACTTAAGATCCATCAGTTTCTCCTTACTTTTAGTGAAAATGCTGGAGACACAGCTTGATCTGTATATAACCAGCATTTCGAAAAATCGACTCGTTTACGTTTATAGTAAGGCTAGGTCGATAGGAATACGATAGTGGCGTACACTGTTCTCGGTATTAAGGAAGCACTTAAAAATTTATTTTATTTTTATTTATTTAAAAGAGAAATRATTTTAAATAATCGTTCCGCTTATAGATATAAAGCACTGACTGCAACACTTAAAAATTTATTATCGGAAGCATATTAAGAACACTATACATTCCAAACTTTTAAGTATGAAAAATCTTATTTTCCGTTTTCAAAATGACAAAACGCTCATAGCTCATGGTCAAAGCTTACAACGGAGGGTAGTGGGGGGAGTACTTTGGCGCGAACTAACCATTTGCTCGAGTTCCAAGCCATGATAGTTAATGACTCTTAAAGGTGCCTCAGATCTACTGCTCCTGGCGCTGGTGCCTTCATTTCTCTGAAGCTGAGCCTTAAGTTCATTCATCTTGCACTCAAATTAAAAAATAAACAAGCCAAGCTGCCGATACCTTATAATAAGGTTGGTATGAGTCTATCAGCTGGAACTAGGCTTAGAATGCACTTGACAAGCCGACTGCACCTCATATTAAAACAACTTGGGGGATCAATTCACCCTTAGTTGGCTCTTTGATTACGTCGACGACATCGAACAATACGGCAACACAGACTTCGGTCACAACAAACCTTAGACATGCAATGTCTGTTATGCACAGGGGAGGATAAACACCATCACCGGCTTCCTTCCCCTGAATAGCGTATAAGAGGCTGTCAGAAGCTCTCTATCTATTCCAGCTTCAACATTCCTAACTATTGCAATGCCTTCCAAGCTCAAGTTGCAGCCGTTAAGGAGCAGTAGATATGCTGCTCTGAGGTGCAGCTTCCTTCAGAGAAGTGACCATTCACTCAGATAGCAAAGCGACGATACTAGCTTTGAACTCATTTACAGTACGTTCGGGGTTAGTGGAGAAGTGCCTGACATCGCTATCAAAAGCATCGAGTGTTGTTGTGATAAAAAGTATGGGTGCCCAGGCATGGCAGAATCGCAAGAAATTGCAAAAATTATGAGCCAGCAAAGAAAGGCACCCTAGAACCGTTACCGGTTTAGTTCAACTACTAGACAGCTGGGCTTCGCAGGAACTTGATCAGCGCTGGGCCATTATCCGTTTATGCGCTGTCGCACAAACCTTTTGGCCCAAGATCAATCGTAGGAGATCTAGTTATCTCTTTGCCCGCTGTAAGCCCTCCCTAGTGACACTTTTAACAGACTATTTCCCTATTGACGTCCGTGCTGTAAGATTGGGAATTTTACCAGACGCCATTTGCAGAAGCTGCATGGAAAAAGATGAGGTGGAAACAACTCAGCATTTCCTTTTTGACTCCCCCACATTTGGGAAGTCAATATATCCTCCGATTGAGCTTTAGCGATTCCCTTTCACTGCGACGTGCCGGTTTTGCTCAAACGGAAGAAGTAAGGCATAATCTTCATTGGCCGGCCAATAAACCGCACCAAACCGTAATTATTTCGGAATTATATGGTGACTCGTAGATTACGTGTGGATATTTTGCTCATATTTTGCTTATTGATGGAGCCATTCAGCCAGAAATGAGCCTCATCATTGAAGATGCTTTTTGGACGTATGTAGCGTTCTTAAAGTTGAGGTCACTGATTCCGAATTTCGTTAGTAAATTTTAATAATTTCTATTCGTTGTTCGATCGTATATCTTTCCACGATAAAATGGAAAACCGTACTGAAGAGAAATATCAAAAGAGCGGAGTTTGCAGTCCCTATCGGTGTACTTTGTAGCGTCCTTATTGTAAAACCCGTTATGTGATAAGCTCGGGCGATTTACAGAATTTTCGGTTACTCTATTCAGCAATCATGTAAGTAGCTCAGATCCGAACCTGATATGGAGTAGCTGTTGTTTTTTTTTTTTTTTCTTTTTATCACCGAAATTAAAAAAAAATAAGTGTCATAATATTAATTTGACTGTTTAATCCCTTAATTCCTTGTTATTGGGATTTAAGCTCTCTTGCCATAATAAATAGTACAGATGTAAAATTCAGTACATTTCTACATATAAATTTTACTGACACATATCCATTTATGTACCGACCCTTCCGTCGCGCATTCCACCCGATTCGCGTGCAATACGCGCCACTAATATCGCAGAAACATAATGTGGCATTAACGTTTAAGCTCGCTTCTTGCCATTTTGTGTCACTTGATTAGGTGTTTAGTGTTGTTATGTGTTGGTTAACAACGCCCTGTATTAAAGGTCAACTGTCATGACACAAACAAACACATCAGCATTGACTTCAGCCGCATATTATTATGTAGCGCTCACTAAGAGTACCCTTGTGCCTGGGACCATCAATGCTAATGCGCCACACATCCCTGCTGTGAGAATTTCACTATTGCCGATGCTGTAGAGATACACCACTACACATGTATACATATACACATAAGTGTATAAATGTATGTGAATGGCATGCAAGTAAACATTAGCGCTCCCTTTCAACAAAATGCCACACCATCTCCGATCTCCGACTTCGGCGTATGACTGCGTCGCCGCTCACAGCTTAATGAGCTTTATAATATACTTTATGTTGATAAGCATTGTTTGTTTACTTTTTGCGCTGCCGCTTCTGTTTTTTACTACTCGGTCTGGCCTTTAGTGCTGGTCTTCTCATTTTTGGCTAACATTTTTTATCGCTTAGCACTCTCGCATACATTTTTTCCGTCTCTTACTTATTTGTTTTGTACTTTGCCTTTGTAAAGCTCACTTAATGGCAGGACCATATAAAGACAGTGCCTCAACACAAATTGTTTGTGGCGACCAACGAAATGTACGTACGCAGCGCGTTTGTTTTTAATTTGGTCGTTGTTGTTCTTAGAGTTATTACATTTTTTTGAGCGCCCTCCCCTGGTGTGGCGCAAACTGCCGTTTATGCTCTTTTATGGCATTAGTGGTTCGCAAATGTGCTTTTTGTTTTCATTTAGCTTTTACTTCGCCTTCTTTGGCCTGCCTTTTGATCCTGTCGCGGCGTCCAATACAAATATCGACCTTCCAGTAGCTCCCAAAAATTCGGTTAATTTCTTTATTGCTTCGGTGTGCTGCGTTGGTCAGCTTAATATCATGCTGTTATGTTTATTTGCCCGCCTGTTATAACCCAGCAAATCTTTGTTCAACATTGTGTTTATGGCATCGTTTTACTGTCTTTCTGCCCTAATTATTCAATCACTTATTTTTCATGGTTCCATCGTTCAAATTAATTTCGTGTTTGTGCCGAAACAATTTACGGTCGAGAAACGTACAATAGCTAAGTGTACATATTTCCAGATATTTACTAGATGGGTCGTGGCCTAAAACCAAGACCTTTGCGAAATTATAACTAAATAACTTAAAAAATAAGATAAAGTATTTCCTCTTAGTAATTTCATTTTGGGAAGTAATACCTCTTTTTGAAATTAAAAAGCTTATGCTCTTAAAATACATTATCAGTTCCGAAGAATATTAAGATTTATGGAATATACCATCTACATACATATCTATTTATACAAGCTTAGTGGCTTTATTTGGGTTAGGTTAATCTGTTTGGCCAATGAGCCACGGATAGGCCAGTTTTGGTCCTTTGCGATACTAGATGAAATTCAGTTGCTAAGTTCATGAGAAGTAGTTATCCTTTAGCAAGCCCAAGCGCAGGCTTTTAACAGATTCTGAATACTCACTATTGACAATTCCTCCAGTGCACCATACCATTGAGATCCCAGACACTTACAAAGTAGAGTTGCAAATGTGGGACAATTGCAGAAGGGATGCTACATTGCTTCTCTCTTGCCTTGCTCTAGGCATTTTCTGCAGTATTTTCGATCTGTCAGCCCTATTCTGCGGGCGTGGGTTATGCGGGTGTTGGCCGTACACCATTCTTGGCAATCTCGTTCACTATTATATTGCCCTCGATGCCTTTGAAACCTGGCACCCAGTAAGCTTCCCAAGACAATTCTGGCCCGAGGTTACTGCCTTGATTGCTGCGTGGCTGCCTACTTATGGTTAATGTTGACCCAGCCAGCCAGCTCCGCGGCTTTTACAATAGCGAAGACTTCAG